AATAATCTAGCAGTAGACACACACATAATTTCTTACGCTGAACTGATGGGGAAAGGCCAATGGGGCTATATCCAGCAATATATATTAGGTTAACAGTGGATGTTTTTATAAATCTGGGTGCTGCAACTATATCCATGAATATAGCAGAGCATACAAGAGGCAAAGTTAAAAAAATTCTTTGGTTTTAACTAAACACCTTTAGGGAATGACTCATCAGACCTGGTGGCTTAGGACCTTGTGGGATGGGAAGCATCAAGTTCAACTGGCATCACATACCACAAAGACAATGTTCTAGAGCTCACTCTTGGGAATAACCACTGGGATCCCCTAAGGGATTGCACAGACTGTAGAACAGTCCATCAGAGGAGACTGTGGACAGCGGACCAAATAAATTTGGAAGCCTATGAAAACTATAGGCAACATTGAGAAGAATAGGAATTCCAAAACAATTGTGCTCATGTGAAACTTGTACACACAGAGATCAAGAGGTTGTCATTTGAACTGAACAAAGTGATATGATTTTGTTTAAAATTAGGTGTGCTGTGCATCAGGGTCGTACTCATCCAATCCATGTGCTAAGGAAGTAATCTAAGAAACTAGGTTATAGGAATAACTCAGCTTTAGGGTTAGAGAAATACTCATTAATTAAGCCGGTGATATGCAGATGGCACAACCTTGCTTGCTGAAAGCAAAGAGGACTTGAAGCAATTACTGGTGAAATTATAGCCTTCAGTATGAATTACCCCTCAACATAAAGATAACTAAATCTTCACAGTTCATGATAAACAGAGGCAAGACTGAAGCTGTCAAGACTTCATTTTACGTGGATCCACAATCAATGCTCAGAGAAGCAGCAGGGAGGAAATAAAAATGCATATAGCATTATTGCCTGAAGGTTTGAAGAACTGAGCTAGAGGACAGAATTGATAAATATCAGATGTTCTCCAGACTAGCAACATTTGGAGCTTGCTCCACTAATTCTTTTGTCTAAAGACCTGATCAGATTTTTGCGTGGGCACCACCAGGAAGGAAGGGACTTTGGAATGGATGAGATTTAAATGCACCAGAATTTGAGACAGAAAAGGTCAACTGTGAGTTGGCATCACTCATGTGTTATTTCTGACACATGGAGT